CTGAGGATCGAACCCGGGCCGCACGCATGCCAGGCGAGCGCGCTACCGCTTGAGCCACATCCCCAGCCCTCCTTGTTTCTTAAGCTAAATTAATCTCTCACCTGCTCATTTATTTTAGCTCCATTCTGTTCGCTGAGTCAAACACATTCCATGAATAAATGACCAAGTACTAACAAGAAAATTATCATGAAATATCATTCACTTTCTCAACTTTTTTTTTCCCTCTCTGCTTTACTTAGTCCAATCTCTGGCAGTTCTTCATAAACCAATCTCCTTACCATGCTGTTTGGGTGTTATTCTTCTACATTATGTTTTCTTCACTCTTCTTCATGTTTCTGAATTCTACCACTCCTTCTGGGCCTAAATCAATTCCAGCTCTTCCAAGAACCCTTATGTTAGTTTGCTTTTCTGATTCTATACCCTGATCTACCTGAGATAATCAACTTTTAAGGAGAAAGGGTTTATTTTAGCTTACCATTTTCAGAAGTTTCATTCTATGGCCTGTGGCTTCTGGGCCTTTGGCAAGACAGTATATCCTGGCAGACAACATGTGGTGAAGCAAACCTGTTCATCTCACTGAGATTGAATGGCAAAAGAGCAGGAAGGCCAGGTGCAGCGGTGCACACCTATAATCCCAGAGGTTCAGAAGGCTAAGGCAAGAGGATCAGGAGATCAAAGCCAGCCTCAGTGAAAGTGAGGTGCTAAGCAACTCAGTGAGATCCTGTCTCTAAATAAAATACAAAATAGGGCTAGAGATTTGGCTCAGTAGTCAAGTGCCGCTGAGTTCAATCCCTGTACCAAAAAAAAAAAAGAAAAAGCAGGAAGAAGGCCGGTATCTCTCCGTGTCCCATTCAAGGGCTGCTGTGCAGAGGCTTAGGCCCACGAAACAGGGTTCAGGGATCCAGTAGTTGAAAGAAGATGATGCGAGGCAGAGCTGGGATAGTTTACATGCTTTATTCAGAGGCAGAAGCATGAGCCATTCCCATAGGCCTTTTTAATGTGCAGGCCAGACAAAGAAGGCACCTGACCAACAGGTTACATAAGTGAGCATGTGCTCACAAGCAAATGTTTATGACCTTGAGTATCATGGAATCAGAGTGTTCATGACCTTGGCTACATATTAAAAGATAGCCTTCCAGAAACATCAGCAAGGGAGCCTAACTATAGCCTTCTAGGGCCTGCCCTACAAGGGCATAACTCCAGTGACCTAACTTCCTTCTGCTAGTCCTACTCCGAAGGGTTCCACCACTTCCCATGTCTGAGGACCAAGCCTTTGACACATGGGCCTTTTGGGGACACTTATCCAAATGATAGCAATCCTCCTGCAGTGTTCCTGCATGTTATACTTCTCTTTTCCTCAAAGGCTGATGGTATTTAGGAGCGTCATAGTCCAACTTAATATTTGATTGCCTAGGACTAGAAGTTCTACAATATGGGTGTGCATCAGGATCCCCTGAAGGGCTTTAAACAGATTGCTTGTATCCATTCTGAGTTTCTGATTCAGTATATTCAAGATGAGACTAAGAAGCTGCATTTCTAACAAGTTACAGGTGATGCTGATGCTGATGGTATGAAAAGGATACGGCAGAGGACAGAGCATACTGTGTGCAAGCTATTTGAATGTAGGTCAGTTACTTAGCTTTTTTGTGTCTCAGTTTCTTCATATGTGAGAAGATGGTTGGGGCTGGGGATGTGGCTCAGGCAGTAGCGCGCTCGCCTGGCATGCGTGCGGCCTGGGTTCGATCCCCAGCACCACATGCCAACAAAGATGTTGTGTCCGCCGAGAACTAAAAAAAATAAATATTAAAAAAATTCTCTCTCTCTCTCCTCTCTCCTCTCTCTCTCTCTCTCTTTATAAAAAAAAAGAAAAGAAAAAAGAAAAAAAAGAAGATGGTTGCCAAGAACTATTTACTGAAGAGCTGGAATAATGTATTTTAAACTTTGGTAAAGTTCCTACTACAGCATAGTTGTTTGAAATAAGTTAGCTATTATTCCTAGAAGAAGAAAGACAAAATTTTGGGGGGGTCACTTATATTATAAAGGTAACACCAAGACCTATGGCTTCATAAAATCTGGACTGTAGGCTTATTAGCAGGACTGATAGATCTTCTGCCAAGGAGAAAGCTATTCAAAACTTTACTCACCACTTATTTAAGCCTTAATCTGGGAAGGGCAAATGAGGGCAATGTTTCCCATGCTTAGAAGACCCCTTCCAAAGCTAATCAGCTACAACTGATTCAACTTTCAATTCAGGATCGCTAAGTTTACAACTGGGGATTCTGTAGAAATATTACTTTTACTTTATTGTAAGTTCTAATAACTATGATTAAAGGCAAAAATTTTCTTAACTTAGCACTTCATAGGGAAAAAAAGTGGGGAGCAGGTAAAAACAATCTTAAGAAAAACTTAGGGAATAATTAATAATAGCAAAACCAGTGTTACCTATTTTTGTTGGCAAGAATATGTGGAAAGGAGAAAAAGTTAATGGAATCAACTTCTATGCAGACTACTCCCATCAGAAAAAGGGAAGCAGAGCCAGGCATGTTTCTACAGGCCTGTAAATCCTAGTAACTGGAGAGGCTGAGGCAGGAGGATCATAAGTTCAAAGCCAACCTCAGGAACTTAGTGAGACCCTATCTCAAAACTTAGAAAAAAAAACAATTAAAGACCTGGCGTTATAGCTCAGTGGCAAAGTGCCCCTAGGTTCAATTGACTGTACTGAAAAATTAAAAATTAATAAATAAAAATTAAAAGGTGCTAGATGCAGTGGCACACACCTATAATCCCAGTGATTTAGGAGACTGAAACGGGAGGATCTCAAGTTCAAAGCCAACCTGAGCAACTTATCCAGACCCTGTCTCAAAATATAAAATAAAAGGAATGGGCATGTAATTTATGATAGAGAGCCCATGTGTTCAATCCCCTCCACCACAAAAAGGAGGAAGGGGAAGAGGAAAGCAGGTAGTGCAGAGGAATTGGCACCCAGTTTGGTCAGACTCTCCCTTACTATCCCTAGCATGCTCAAAAATATGGGCATCCTCTGGTTGCACAGAACCAATGTTTGGCTAACATGCTGTTTCAGCAGCTACAGTTTGGGGCTTGGGCTTTTCCTGGGATCTCCTTCTAGAACCAAAAAACAAATACTGGAGCTGAAGGAGCAAAACCAAAACCGGAAAGTCTATTATGTCTTCAAAAGCCCTCACCCCACTGTTTCTTCTGCCAACTCAGATCCAGGTCACATGCCTTTTGGTAGACTTAGCATTTCATATGCAGTGCCTGGGGCATGACAGGCACTCAAGAAATCTTAATTTGATTAAGCAAGTCATTTAACAAGTAACTGTTGACAACTCGTGCAAACTATGATGGCCATGGTTGACTCAGAAAGCTGTTTTAGGCAGAAGAAATCAGATTTGCCTGAATTTGTTGCTTTTCCCCACACCTCTGTCAGTCAGGGTTTGTTCAGAGAAGAGGGACTGCCAGGAGAAATATAAAAATAGAGGCTTTATTAAAGGGATTTGAACTTTCACGATTGTGAGAACTGGTTAAGCCATTAATATAAAGCTACAGTCTCTGAATCTGGTGCTAGGGACAAATCAGCAGGGGCTGGCCATGAAGGAGGAAAGATGGATGTGAAGGGGGAAAGAGAGGGACAAGCTAGACCATATGAGACTGAGCCAGAATCCACGAGGGCAGATGGCACGGGATCCATCTTCCACCACCTCCCAAGCTTCCATGATGCAAGTGACTTACGGGTGAAGCTGGTACCCTTTGTTGTAGAGGTAAACACCACCAAGGCCAGGAGTTAGAGAAGCCAGAGACAGATTCAGCAGAAACAAAGAGGTGGTGGACTCTGCTGCTGCCCACTTCTCCCAGATGAGCCAGCAATGAGCAATGAGTATGAGCCACAGCCACTGGTGCCCCACATTCGCCTCCAAAGTGTTAAAGATGTTATTTCTGGCTTCTGGTTGTCACACAAAATGTCTCATGAAGCCCACACTAGACAACACAGGCAAGAGAATTCTGAAGAATGTACTCCCAACTTGGATGAGTTGACCCAATATAAATTATAATACCAGGCCAGCTGAGTGGCCTTTAGTCAGGACTGTCATGAGAGCAAGTGATCTTTCTTACTCCATCTAGCTCAGGGAGATTGTAAGGATGAGAATCAGGGAGACAATCTGGTGGTCAACCCTGGCTCACTGATAATTGTGAGAATAGATAATAAGGAAAAGCTGAACAGGGCTCAAAATGCCAGCCTTATAAATGTTGGCATATATAACTTGATTCAGAGGATTTTTGAACCAATTAGATATAAACCAGTTAAGGATAGATTCCTGATGAGCTAGTCCTTCAGAGCATGATGAGGAATATAATCTAGAATGGAAATTTAGAGTTAGAAGTAAGACTGCATAAAAACACCCTGGTGAAGCTGTGGTGCACGCCTGTAATCCCAGCAGCTCGGGAGGCTGAGACAGAAGGATCGCAAATTCAAAGCCAGCCTCAGCAATAGCGAGGCACTAAGCAACTCAGTGACACCCTGTCAAATACAAAATTGGGCTGGGGATGTGGCTCAGTGGTTGAGTGTCCCTGAGTTCAATCCCTGGTAACCCTCAAAAAACAAACAAAAAATATTAATAACGCAGGTTCCCAGAAAGGCTGATACAGCAGGTTTGGGAAGAAGCCCAGGAATCTCCATCCCAATCAAATAAAGAGACTCTCATGCAGGTGGACCCTGATGCACACTTCAAAAAAGCCTTCTCTAGAGGCCTGCACAGCAGAAAAACTCCCAAATCTACCCTACCTGCAAAAGCTGCAAAATGACTATAGGTTATTTAAATTGAAAGATCAACAGAGAGCATCTTTATAGAAAGACAGCAATGGGAAATAAAAATATGCTATTTACTTCAGCATGATGTTCTAAAGATTATTTTAGAATTCTATGTATTACGGATTTGTAAATATTACTTGCTATTTTAATAAAGAGCTTGATGGTTGCCAAAATGCAGCCTCCATTCTGACTTATCAGTCTACACGTTTGCAGTCTCAGAGCAGCTGAAGGTGTGCTAGTGCCACCTAGAGGCCATCATCGTGAGCACACATTGGGTGCAAAGCAAAAGAATCCAGAGTGCATGGGAGGCCAGACAGAAGCAGTGATTGCAGCAAGAAACTGAACTTTGGGAATAGTTATTGACTTGGGTTTGGTTTTGTTTTGTTTTGTTTTTCTTTTAAGTCATAAATAAAAAATGAGACTCTATGTAGCCTTCCCTGACTGCTTAAGAGAATTAAAAAAAGGGGGAGTTAGGAATTTGTCAGATGTGGTTTAAATTCTTTCTCTGTCACCTAAAAGACATGTGTATAGGACACCTCTTGCCTCTCTGCTTCATGTAGGTGTGAAGTGACAGCAACACACCTCAGCTCCCTGTGTACCTGCTGGTTTCTGACCCCAGGACTCCCTAAGACAGAGATAACTTGAAACTACTGGGAGAACCTACTATTCCTTCACACCCAACTGTTCACTCCCTTCTAGTAATGTAACCCACAGGGACCCAGAGCCCATAACAAATGTGTAATTCTGAGGAACATTCGACCCAGCTCCTCAGAAGACTCCAGGACAAAGAAGTGGGAAGCCCTGTTGCTCACAGTAATTCAGTTCAAATAATCCAGCCAGGAATTAGTTTTTCCTCTCTCCATTTGTGTTCCCTGAGATCACTTGCC